ACACCTATTTTTGTTAACAAAAACCAAAAAGAGGTTGGAAGTAAAACAAGTTTTAGAAATGAGGAGTTGGTCGAGGAGGGAGGGGAATAGGTGCGGTAAAATAAATAATAAATTTAAAAAAAAATGTTTTAAATTATAATTAATTAATTAAAGAAACTGTTTTTTAAAAATTTAGTATTTATTTGACCGCACCTCCTCTACCCCCGACCAACTCCTTCTCATATTATAACACGGTCAACCATCTCTACATCATTATCAAGTTTTAGAAATGATTATATTTTATTTCAATTAAGCATGACAGTAAAAAGTGTATAAAGTTTCAAGAAAAAAATATCAACCATCAGCTTGAACCAAGCAGTTTTACAAAACCTATAAATCACGCGAAATTCCACAAATTAACTAGATTTTCAATTGAGCTAAATACTAAAAACAGTATAAAACGTTCCTTCTGCCAACTAAAAATATTTTCACAAACTGGCTAAGGCATCAATTAAACAGTTTATTTGGTTTTTAGAGTTATAATTCTTTTTTTTTTCTATCCGGTGTCGCAGGTTTTCCATTACTCGGCCCACTGTACCGCGTACCGAACGCCCCACACACGCAACACCTCTGAGAGTATCTAGATCGCAAAAGAAATGTTTAATGAAACTGAAATAACGTATTATTAAGGTGCATATCATAGGCACCGATACTTCGAAGATATTGAAAGAGAGATCGCGTGGTATACTTTACCGTTCTAAGACAATTTACACTCGTGAGAATTTTTTTTCATCTCTCTCCCAAAATTAAATTTATTCCTTAAATTGGTTTATATTACTAATATATGATAAGTATTTCATTAAATGCATCTCTAATTAAATAGCTTTATTAATAAGGTAAAATTAATTATTTTCATATGCTTGTCAATTCTTTTTGCTTTCTCCCTACCCAAGGTAGGGTAGCATTGTATTCGTGTGAGAGGTTAAAAAAAAATTTGAGCTCAGAAACGAAAATTTCCACTCGCGTTTTACGTTTCAGACATTAAGAAGTAAATTTCGATGTCTGCCTGTATGTAGTCAAATCGATTTAACGGGCATATCACCTATTAACGTTTATCCAACATTCATGAAATTTTCAGAATTTGTGCGGGTTGGTGCCATGTCAATTTTATCATATTCCATCCAGCCCTTCCGCTTACGCATTTTTGTAGATATGCCAATATTCCGTAAACTGCTTATTCGATTTGCCTCAAAGTTGGATAAAAGGTAGGTATTTGTGAAAAAAAATAATGTAGGATCAATTTTATTGAATTCTGTCCATTGCTTTCTTTTATATATGCGCAAAAGTGTTTACTTTGATAAGTCTATATCTCTAAAACCGCAAGTTAGATTTGGATCAAATTTGAAGAGAATTTAGGGATTCGTAAACGTGGAATGAAATAGGCTTCGATATTATAAAATTCTAATAGAAAAAAATACTTCCGCTTTAAGATCAGGAAATGTTATATTTGATATGCCTATAGTTTGAAAACAGCACATCCGATTTGCCCCAAACTTGGATGAAATTTGGAGAACAGTATTTAGTATCAATTTCATTGAATTTCATTTAATAATTAAAATTAATATAAATAATTGTTAACAATATAATGGCTTTGAAATGTGGAAGGCATTGATCATATGGAGTGAGAGTTAGGTTATTACAATATTGTTATGCGGTTATAAAATTTTAGGTTTTATTCAAAAAATTATTTTATACTGTATTATTTGGTTGATTCCAAACGTTACTGACATGGCCCTTATTGCTGCTACTTAGATTTCGTGTAATTTTCAGTAAATTTAAAGTAATTCTTACTCTGAATATTTAAAAAAAAAAAGTCTCATTTGTGATTGTGTTTATTTCCATTGAAGTTCAACCAGTTCGTCTTTTTTGACTGAAAAGTTCTATAGTTTTCGTTTATGGGTCGTTTTGGCTGTCCCGTAAACTTGTGAAGCATAGGTCCACATGGGACTACTTATGGATCCAGGATTTAATATTTGGGGGGCTTCAGCCCGAAAACTTTTTTTTATATAAATATAACGATAATTACTCTGGCAAAAAATAAAGAAACTATATGAAATGGTGTATCAGTGATTTTTGAAGTCCTATTAAATGTAATTACATGAGTAATAATACATTAAGAGATACCTTTTTAATATTTTACCATCTTCAGCCCGAAAGTTCCTTCCCCTCCATCACCCGTAGACCCTCCTGTGTTATGTAGGTAAATGTAAGTTACATAAATTAATAATATAAATCAATTACATGAATATGTCGCCAACTCTCCAGCTCCATCTAGTGTTGCAGGAGCACACGTAGGTTGTACGGCACACGTAGAGCCGTAGGTTCGCGAACCTAGTTTATACACGTTGTTATATACCACAAGCGGATCGAGGATTTAATTTTGGGGGCTTCAGCCCGATAGGTTTTTTTTTTCATATATATATATATATATATATATATATACATATAACGATAATTACTTTGAAAAAAATAAACTACCTTTATGAAATTGTGATCAAGTGATACCTTAAGTCCTATTAAATGTAATCACAGGAGCAATAATACTTTAAGAGATTGTTACTATGTTTTTCCATAAAACAGGATTACATGTTACTATTTTCAGGGAGCTTCAGCCCGAAAGTCCCTCCCCCCCCATAGATCCGGCTGTGCAGTATACATTTCGTTAAAATCGACTTACTAGAAGTACCATCTTATATAGATGATTTTACATGTTTTCCTAAAACGGCTCTAATGGTTTTCATAACACTTGTTGGTATATAAATACACAATTAAATGGTATTTAATGTCAGATAGTTCTTACCCTTGGAGCATGGATGGCCGAGAGGGCTAAGGTAATTGAACTACGTAATTAAAGTTAAGCAACGTTCAGCATGCTTAGTACTTGGATGGGTGACTATCCATAGTGGAAAGACACACTGGTTGAGACTTTTCTCTCCGGGTATGTGAGACCCATCAGTCTACTGGAAGAAACTCACACCAACCTGGTGTAGGACTTATGACCAAACTCTGTGTACTTAAATCAGGAATCCTAGGATGACAGTAGTTCCCCTGAGCTTTAGTCTCTGAATGGCCTGTTTCAGAGAAAGAAATATAGGTCCTCCTACCGTCACTGTCCTTGAAACTGAGAAAGTCTGCAGAAAGGACACTGCCAGATTGGCCTCTAAACACAGGGATTGGTCATGGAGCCCATAGTCTGTAGCAACGTGAGTTTGGGTGATTCCCTCCAGGCTATCTGTGCTTTCACAAACGACATATATACTGCTGTAGAGAGACCACATCTCGCGGCCAAAGATCTATATGGTCAGTAGCAACAAAAAAAAAAAAGTTCTGGTTCTTATTGAAACAATTAAGTCTTTCATTGGAAATAGCCCTAAAATATGGCTTTGCAATAACTGTGAAAGAAATAATTTAGTTAAATAAAGGAGAAATATTTTCCTCTGTTGAAAAATATCCCATCGTAATTTGTGAGGAGCACGCGACAGAAAATATTTTAAGCTGTTTACAGGTTGACTAAACTGAGGTAATAATTATCTTGAATAGCTTTAGCTGAGATAATAGAATGAAATATTAACTAACCTAATTTTGTTAAAAATCTAATTATTTAAGTAGGATGGTGTGGTCTACCAGGTTTTTATTATTGGTACATGAAAATTTTATTTGATGTAGAGATAGTATTTTTATGGTCAAAATTCAAAATTCCACCATTTTATTGATAAATGAAATTTTAAAATTTATAGGTTCAAAAGTAATTTAAATTAAACATACCAATTTTTTTTTTTTACAATATTGAATCTGAGAATCATATCAACTTGTAGACTTGAAATTAAAACCGCAGTATCAAATGTAAATTATTTTTCCATTGTTAATGAAGATGAAGATTACATAGTGAAAATCATTATTTAATTCAACTTATTTTGAGCAATATAATTTATTATTTTTAAACTGATCTGTTTCCAGTCTCAAGTCTTCAATTTTCCATAAAGTTAACCTTTTTGGCAAGTAATATCATTAATTCAAGCTTTTTACATTGAACGGTCCCAATTATTAAAAGCAGGAATAGGAATCATATTGATATAGTATACAAGACATATTAATAAACAAAAATAACCAATGTAGAAATTATGGTTTTGGATTTTGAGAGACTGAAAAATCAACTCAAGAAACGAAGTAGTAAAGAAAAAACGAAGAAGATTGTTACTAAAATAAAATTGGGTTCTCAAATAACAATGTCGTCTCTTCTTATACATACTTTTTAGTTAGTAATAAAGTTCCAAATTTCTCCTTGAAGGGTTAGCAAAATTAATTCTTCCAATATATCCATTCCCCCCACCCCAACTTGCTAAGGTTTAGAGGCTGTATCCTCATTAACAAAATTTATTAAATAATACTATTATAGTGGATTGATGGTTGACTGGAGTGAATAAATGAAGAGAAGTTGGTTGGGATGCTCAGTAAAAAAATGAATATTTATATTTTTACTGAACACCCAATCAACTTCTCTTCAAAAATACCATAATCGGTTACTTAGTATTAAAATGGTTACCTTTTGATCAGTAATTGACAAAGGCAGTGATAGAATTGCAATTAGTTAATGATTATATAACTTCAGCAAGTATATTATTTTAGATACTCATTACTAGAATGTTTCAATGTATTTTAGTTTTCCTAATTTAATTCATGATTTCAAACGGTGAATGAAGGGTGACTATTTAAGGTTGAAATGTTAAATTAGGGTATTACATTAAAGTACGAATGCTTAAACTTCAAACATATTTTAGAATAAATGAAATGTGAGCAAGATGATACATAAAAACATTAAACCTCTAATGTATTACTATATTTCTTATAAAAAATTCGTTTTAAAGAAAATTTTGATCATTAATGTATTTATGTGATTAGATATCAGGTACAAATTAATTTTTAAGGATTGAAGGATATTAGTGGAAGAAATAATTAAACAATTGAAGATGTACGTATGTGCATTTTTTGATTTGGTATACATTAATTATTTCATTGCAGATTTCTTACATACAAAATAAGTACAAACATATTTAAGAAAGACATGTACAGTTAATATGCAAATGTAAATGTATACGGATGTACTTATTACTTAGAAACAAATATGTAATTATTTAATTTTAATTTTGTTGGCTATCCGTCATTCTATGGCTTTAGCCAAAACATTATTCTATGGTATAAGTAAAATTTTTAATCAAAACAACATAGGGTTTTGATTACATTTTTTTTTTTCTATAAATAATAATCAACAATTAAAACTTAACAGAAAGTCTTTTAAATCACAGATTTAATTATATATTGAAATTATTAAAGGATTGAATGAATATAGATGTAATATTAAACAATTTTATTCAGAACTAACACACATAAAAAATTTATTTGAAACATAATCTAGTGACTCAAGTTGAATCCATCAACTTGCTTAACAAGGAACAAAGATTATTCTTAATTGAAAAAAAAAGAAATATCACCTCTTAAAAAATATTTATATTACATCACCTTAATGTTTATTAAAATCTATATTAAAAAAAAAGTAAAAAAAAAAAAAAAAAAATATAATACACATATAATGATCAGACAAACTCATGAGTATGCTTTTAACATCAAACATCAATACACTTTGAATGGCACAAATATGGGATAGTTTAGAGACATTTAGTACAGACTGAGGATTAGTCAATAAAATCTTGAAGATAGTGGAGAGATGTCAGGGCAAGAACACATGTAAATGGAAGAGATCCAAAAGTTTGTGCTGGATTCTTTTTAAAAGATCAGTTTTACTGTTCAACCAGATTTGAAAAGTAAAATGGCAACCTGACCCAGATAGAAGTATATGAAGTGGCGAGTTTCGTGAGTGACGTAACTGCCGAAATTTCTACCAACTATACAATGCCATGTAGGATTGTATTTTTTGTCAAACTCCTTTTTGATATGAGCAGCAATATCCTGAAAAAAAGAAAAGAATTGATAAAAAAGTCTGTTTTAATGAATGAAATTAAAAAAAATCATCACTAAACATTTAATTTGTCATACATAAAATTAGCTATCTGTAAAGTGTTTTATGCAATAAGTAAATTTGTGTACTTCGTGTAGGGGTTAAGTTAGAAAGTATCTAGGCCATCACCTTAAAAGTTATCAAATTGGAATATAGGGATTCGTCATGGAATGAAGTGTTTTTAGTATTGTGTTGCTGTATCTGAAACAGTTTGGATGTCCAAGTCCTTGTGTAATAAGTCATTTGTCACATAGAAAGATGAATGCAATTTTTTGTAAAACTTTTGATTTGTAAAACGTTTAACTTTGAAAAGTTAGAATTTATTCGGTATTAGATTTTGTTATAGTGTCCTATGGGATGCTCTATCTCATAAGTCCGTGAAGGTTTTATAATTAATTTGTAGATGGTAATAAGTTTGTTAGTTAAGGATAATTTGGAGTGTCTGTTAAGTAGCCTAGATTCGAGTCCAAATAGTTTCCTTTTCTGTGTAGTATGAGTTCTTCATGTCAGTCTCTTGTCAAGGTGAAGTCCCAAATAACGCACTTCTTCCGAAGTAGGGATAGGAACATTGTTGAAGAAAAAACTATGGGCATGTACCATGATTTATTATGCACTTAGAGAAAAAACAATGAGTATACGTTACATATTATTTATTTTCACTTTCCACCTGGAAGCCCAAATAAAAACATCATCAAGATGATCCTGTATGAAAAGATATGCGATAATTGGGTTTTTGTGGGTTGTTAGTAGTGCAATATTAAAATCTGGTCATGTTCTGGTAAGTCTATTGTAAAATAATGGTCCCAGTACACTGCCTTGCATTCAACCTTCATATAATGTTATACATAGAGTAAAATTAATGTATGGTTGTTATCATTGCAATCTTTATTACTGTTATCAATTCATTAATTAATTTTCTCAAGCAAAATATATCAGATTTTATTCTAAAAATTATTTTATTTGAATTGAAAAATAAAATAAAAATAACAACTAATTTCTTTGAATTTATTGTTTTAAATTATTTTGATACTAAATATCTAGTTTTATTTTTTTTAGGATAATAAACCACAATATAATTGATAAGTACTATGTTTGTCTTTTTATTTATTAACAAAACATGAAAAAATTATAAGACCTGTAAATGAGGATGAAGTCAATAATTGAAATACACGATTATCGCCAAACAAAATGGTTATTAAGTCTAGATATTAGTCGAGACGTAATAATTTTTTAACAGCAGACTGAATTTGGAACATACATTGTTCATTCCCTAACCATTTAAAAGTAAAAAAAAAAAATTAGCTTACACTTTACACTTGTTCACTAATTTGACATGGATATCTTATTGATTAATAATAAATTGTTATTCTCAAAAGCAATTCAAAATTTAAAAAAGGTCATTGTATGAACATAACTCAATCAAAAGAGAATGGAGAAATCATAACAATATAAGTTAAGTTCAAACGAGGCATACAGAAGAGATTTCGGAAAATTTAGAAGTACCAATTTATTCTTTTAAATATATGAATATTTAGATTACTTAAAAATATATATATATATTTTTTTAAAAACACAATAATTAGAATATATTGGTTTAATTAATTTTTTAATATCTTATAAATAAGATTTAAAAAATATTAATAAGCTTTATAAGGAAATTTGTCAAATAAAATTATCACTTTATTTTATTAATGCTAATATATATATATATATATATATATATTTTATGGTAATCAATACCTATTTCTGCTATCGAAGCTATTAAAAATCCAAGACTTCAATTCAAATTTAATAACATTAAGTTCCAAAATATTAATATATTTGATAATTATAATTATCAATGATTATGTATGTGTCAATTGTATTGTTCGATATTTTCACCCATACTCTTTTTAAAGATCAATTAATGTAACAATTTTCTTGTAGCGATAGGATTTCTTTCAAAACCATTTCTTGGATAATTCAAGTTATACGAGATAATATTTATAGCCAGACTACACGGAAACTTCTCAAAATAAAATAGTAAACCATCAATGAATTTTTGTACTGAAATGTATAATTCGATAGAAGTCCTACTTTTAATAATTTTGAAACAAGTTATGGAGGTAAAATAACGAAATTGATATATACTTCCATTATTTTTCAGAATATTTTTTCATATGATTCAACTGTTGATATATGCATCATAAGTTGAGCCTAAGGCTCTCCTATACAGATTTTCAAATTTAAATGAGTAGAATTAGATTTGCTCTTTATTTATTATTTGTATTTATATTCATTTAAATAATTCCTTTTCCAATGAAATTCTTTCATACCACCCAAAATGAATTTGATATTGTCAGTTTATTGAACTATCCAGGTAAACTCTGAAAAATGAGTTCGAACATTTTCTTTTTTTAAATTTGCTGATATACACCCCTCTAGCAGTTATGTGCGTTATAGTTTTATATGATTTATTTATTTAAAATAATGTGAACAAAATGTCAATAAAAAGAGGTGTCTAGCACTATACCTTAGTAATATCACTGATAAGTTAAGACATAGCTAACATCAGTTCAGGCTAATAGGAATGTGACTAAAAACTTAGCAGTACCAGCTACTAGCAAAAAAAACCTAGATTTGTTCATTAAGCACAATACATGTCTCAAATCAGTTAAAATATTGTACATTTTCATGTACAATTCCAAATGACTTGAAAAGAATCACAATATCAAACACATTAGTCACTGATATTACAGTAAAAGGATCTTATCTGTAGTATCAATAATGAAATTTTTGTTTAGTTGAAGAGAGAAAATTAGTTAATTTAAGAAAGAGTATTTCTAATGTAGGGTATGCGTTACTATATAATAATAAAAAAATCCTTTAACAATAGTTTTATAATACCCCAAACATCGCAAGAACAAAAGTATCAACAATATTTAATTAATTAATTGATGTTAAAATGAACAAAAAACAATATGAAAGTAGTTTTAGTTAAAACAGCTGAGCTAGTAAGCTACCTGTTGCTAGGGGCTCAGTTTGACCTAACATCAATATTGATGAGAGCTAATAAATGCGTCTTGACAAAGGAATAAGGATTAGAATAACATATTCACCTTGATCTCTGAATAATTAGATTGTAAAGATAATAACCAAAGCATGTAAAATATAATCAAGAGCAAATACCTTTTCTATATTGAACTTATCTAAGGCTTGTGTCGCACAATCAACAGCATCTTGTTGCATTTCCTCAGACATATCTGCATTTTTAATAACTGCTTTTCGGTCTGACATAGTGCTGTCTTTGAATCTGAAAAAGATTATATAGGAATTAAATGTTTAGTCGACATATTATGCATAAATTTTAATTGGAAATGGAATATGTTATCAAAATAAATCTGATCAATTGCTGATAACATTATAATAACAACATGACACAAAACTAGAGTACATCAGTAGAATTGTACAAGTGAAATTTGATCTAGTTGTCTAAAATACATTAAAGGACAGAAAGGCATGGTTCCAAAAAGAAGTGTCAGATCTCTTTAAGAAAAAAACTTATTAATTAAGATGAACTCGTATGAATATGGCACAATTTATTGATTTTTGAGGGCAAATCTTGTTTTATTACTAATATTAAGATATAAAGAATAAATATAAAGTATTCTTGGGTAATGAAAGCCTACACTAGAATAATACTGATCTCAAATAATTGAATATCGAACATATTATCAGCTACACACATATGTTGTATATGATTCATATTAACTGATATTAACTTACCTACAAATGTAATGTAATGATACAGTCTTTTTGTTTCCCTCTTGATGGTCTCCAAGGGACCCCTGCTTGGTATAGATAATACAAATCTATCAATTCGTCACTAAATATAAATAAATAATTTCGGCGAAAGATACTTCCAAAGCACCCACACGAAGCTGGATTGGGCAAGTCTTGTTCGATATTACTTATGAATGGAAGCCGACAATACACGCATCTGATTGGTCGAGCTCTACTGTCCTGAAACAGAGTCCTAAAACTACCCATCGTGCTTTGCAGTTCTTGGCGCCAAATAAAAATACCTTTTGTAATGGCGTATTCAATTTAGATCATGTTAAAAAAATTATTAATTTCTCTGCTTACTTATTTTTTTGGTTTTCTTAGTGAAGTTAGCTCTTTAATATACATTTACAACTATCAAACATTGAAAAACGTTTAATACCAAACATATGTAGGTAACTTATAAAAAACAAAAGAAAAAAAAAAATTGAAATTAGTTTCTTTGGAAACAACACATTCCTTTTAAAAACTATAAATAATAGTGTTTCCACCGGCAACCGCTCTCCCCATTTAAAAATGTATTTATTCCAATACCATTTTTATTTGGCCAGTAAAAAACACCAGTTCAGGACCGGAACAAGGATTTCATCAAAAGGTGCAAGTTTAATCTTACTCTCACGCCCTATTTTCCTAGGAGTATTTTAGACGATATGCTTTCAAGTAAATACAATTATCTCATAATAGTCACTCAATTGAATAGGCCACACATGTTCACCAGTTTGAAATTCTGCTCCCTAAATTCTGCCACTCCTTTAGTTTCCTGATAGTTCTTCCGGCTCTTCACCTGTAGCACATCAAAAACAGTCAAATAGTTCAAAGTGATACTTGACAATTGCACTAACTAAAAACGGGAGGGACCACTGTTATGAACAGTAACATGAGACCAAATCAATGTTTCAGCAAAATCACCCAATTTTTTTGGAAGTTGTGCTCAACGCAATATCAAAACTGTGAGTGGCTGCTTTATCTTTTCCAAGCTCTTACTGCAAATAAAAAAATATATATTTATTTCTATTACATTTGGTTTAGACTTTTAGGCCTAAAAAAAAAGGTGGAGGCGAACTCTAGAGCAGATATGCAGTGCCTGGTCTGGATTCATGAGCTTGCGAGAGATAAAGCTGTCCCATGGAACTTCGTGACGGCCTTATATCCTATGTCCTTATGTACCTAAGGGATTCCAGGATTGATAATAATAAATAAATCACCCAACATTGAGCCAGCAGAATATGCAGACCTAAAACAATTACGAATCATCAATTAATGTGCTGACTTATTAAATAAATATTGAAAATAAGTATCTATTATAAGCATATTTTTATCTGCTTATAAAAATAACAACTCAAAGTATTTATATATGTTTTACTTAATTTTATTTTCGCTTCTTCACTAATCTCGCAGACAGTGACTAATAATGAAGTGAAAGAAGTTGCAGTGTAATGTGTTTCTTTCTTCAAACAAGTAGTTTTGTAAGTGGTATGTTTCTGAATTTCCTCCCATCAATTCTAATGACAGAAATGTGTGAGAAAACACCATTTCCTAACCACACCAAATAAAAAATGTTTGAAAAATGGTTATTTTTAAAAATAAAATGTGTTTTTAGGTTTGTTATAATAAATCTCATGTCACGGAAAAATTAGAAATAAAAGCTTTGCAACAGTTAATTGTAGTCATTTTTGCTGAAAACAAGGGTACTTTTAGGTGTCTGGATAGGAAATCACATCATTTCTTTACACAACTTGAGGCGAATCTCAAAATTTTCCTAATAAACCTCAACTTAATTAATATGGACTTAAAGCATATTAAATGAGAAAGTTTTGTTTAAGTGGGGTCAATGTAGTACAGTTAAAGGGTGATAAAAAAAAAAATCAAATAATTTATCATTTTTTTTTTAAACGAAACTTACCTGAGTTTGATTGCCCAATAGTCCTCTTAAAATAGTTTTAACAATGGCAAACTCTACTTTCGTTTAACGTAAATTTTGTCTAGTTTACTATGCAGCAATGTTATGTTACTTAAATCAAATATCTTTTATGTTATCGCTTCCTATTTAACAAAAAGCGTGACAAACCTGAAAAAACACAAATCTTAAATTTCCTACATTTCTGATGGAAATTGGGCAAATGTTTATATGAACGTTTTTGTAGATCTTAATGTCGACTATCACTATTTTGAAAATTTCCCTCTACTTACGTCTCCCTCCCTCCCTCCCTCCCTCCCTCCCTCCCTCCCTCCCTCCCTCCCTCTCTCTCTCTCTCTCTCTCTCTCTCTCTCTCTCTCTCTCTCTCTCTCTCTCTCTCTCTCTCTCTCCCTCCCTCCCTCCTCTGGCCCTCCCTCCTCCCTCCCTCCCTCCTCTCCTCTCCTCTCCTCTCCTCTCCTCTCTCTCTCTCTCTCTCTCTCTCTCTCTCTCTCTCTCTCTCTCTCTCTCTCTCTCTCTCTCTCTCTCTCTCTCTCTCTCTCTCTCTCTCTCTCTCTCTCTCTCTCTCTCTCGGTAGTTTAACTTAAGTGGTAGTTTTTTTTTTCTTTTTGTTCTACCCTACCTTGCCTTTTGGGATATATGAGATTTTCCTGGGCCAGAGGGTGAGAGCGGGAGATTAATGCCAGTGTTAAAAGACATGACACCAGGACGCGGGACGCGAACTCGTTATTGTTTTGTTATCTGTAACTTGGTTATTAGTTTGCCGGGCAACGCGCGGTGCTGTCCCCACGCGTTTGCCCACTCGGCCAACCCACCTTTAAGTAATAGTGTTGCCCAGAACAATGAATGTGTAGCTCAGAATACTCAAAGTACTCCGGCATCTCAGACGAAAAAGTTAAAAAGAAAAAATCCTCCCTCATAGTAGTCAGTGGCGTTTAAGGCATGGTACAAGCAGTCGAGGACCTGAAGGCCACTGGTTTTCACTCTTTTGAAACCCAAAAAATCAGATGAAGTTAAGATCTTTCCATCATTCATGGAAGTCCAGGAATTAAAAAATACCTATGTCGGGCAGGATGTCAATATCCCACCAATGCTACAGAAAACAGAACACCTATCCAGAGGTTCGTGATTTATGGCCTGGATGTACAACATGACACAGATGAGGTAAAATTGGGGATGGGGTGGCCGAATGGGCTAACGCTTGTGCACAGCACCGCTATTTGCCCGACAACCAGATAACCGAAGTTATGAAGGATTAAAAAGAACGAATTCGTCCCGGTGCCGGAGAAGATTATAAATTCCCTGCTCTCACCTCCCAGTCAAATAAGACTTGCACCAGCAACTACCGGGAGTGCTTGAGTGTCCGCCATCTACAGAAGAGTGATAAGGACGGAAGAAAGACAGAACTTTGATAACTACAAATATAGACTTCAGTATCAAAGACTTGTTAGCAGTACAACACATACATCGAATACGTTTTACTGTGAGACCTTATAATGGAAGAAGAGACATCGACCAATGCCACAGATACCCAGCAGTTCGGGCATACAAAAAACCAATGTGGAACAGCAACGACCGATGAAGAATCGGACTAACCGCTCACGCAAGCCGTTAACAAGCCAGCTAACGACAGACCACGTCCATCCCTCTCCCAGCTGGACACAACAATCAGACGAAAGGACATACGCAAATATAGTTCGGCAAGATGTTATTTCTTCATGGGTGGAAAACATCATGACGAGCATAAAAACTTTAACAGACTCTACAAACAAACTCCTCAACTTTTTCGGTGAAATTATGGCAAAATTAACAGACCACTGACAGTATTAAATTTCAATACGGATGGACTGATGTCCAAGATTACCGAGATATACGCCTTGATAGCAGAGAACCCCACCTTTGTAGTCTTCAGACACTAAAACAAATTTCCAGCGGATACGACTATCAGGCTACGATCTAACAGGAGATTAAACAACGCAAAACGTAGGAGGAGTTCTAATAGCTATACGTCATGGCATGAGGTGGAGAGAACTGCCCCCAGCAATGGCTATTAAGGACCCCAGAATACATCACAAAACAATTCAGGTTCTGTTGGATAAGCCAACCATCATCACAGAGTAATAAATTGGTTCCCTCATCGCATTTTCCCAGATTCCACAAGAGTGTGCTAAGAGGACGAATCATTGGATAGTAGGTGACCTAAACGTCCGGCATACTTTATGGTATAACAATAAAATCATGATAGCTGGGAAACTGATACTGAAGATCGTGTTTCATCCATGTCTGAATAACGTGTGATTATCGTGGTTCATCCAAATATCCACAATTTCAGACATTGAGCTAATTTATCTTTTATTTCAACTGCTGATCTTCTACTTACTAGACAGCCATACCGTATATCGACTATACAGCGTTGGATTTTATAACATCTGATCACAGATCTGAACTTCACTGGATTGACGGTAAAGCTCCAGCACCATCACCACCTACAAAATACAAGTACGATGAAGCCGATTGAAAACTATATAAGGCACAGGTCTATCAAAAGTTGACCACTGTCCCTGTTATCCGCTCAAGAAAGGATGTAGACGACTACCTAGAATTCTTCGCGACAACCATCAGACGAGCAGCCGACAGAGCCATACCGAAGTTCACGCCACTTCCGTCAGCTCTAGGTTCCTTCCAGATCATATTCTGAAACTTATTGCCTTGCGTAATAAGTGGAAGAATAAATGGCATAGAGATCATGATGTGAAGTCGGTGGTAAATTTCCTCACCACTCAGATTCGTAACCTCATGAAACAATGGCGGACTACAAAGTGGCATGAAAAGTTTTACTCCACTCATGGCGATTACAAGAAATTTTGGATGCTCCTGAAAAACACCATCAGGAAGAGAAGCTCCATATTACTTCACGACGAGAGCAATCTTTTAACGTCAGAAGAGTAGGTGGCTAAATTTGCAGACTACTACAGTGATATTATAACCAAACGAACCGAGACTATAACCGAACTTCCGGTGGAAAATAAACAGTACAATTACACGTTTGCATCCCCCAAAGCAAATAAAGTCCATATTTCGCCGTTCAAAGGGAAACAAAGCCCCTGGCCACAATGGGATACAATAAATATTACAAAACAATTACTAAGGAGAGGGATAGCTCACTTGACAAACCTTTCAACTCCTGCTTCAGGCTGTGGTATTT